GGACAAAACAAGAGAACATTTGAGCTAAGAAAGCGAACCTTGCATGGATGCTGTCTGCGGTAAAGAGGGTTTCCTTGTGGCAGCTTCTGTAAATGTAATGAATACACCAAAACTGAGATAACTCATTCGAAAGATGACGAAGAAGAAGAAGAAAAAGCACATTAACATGCTAAGAGATTGGAACGAAATAGCTAGATTTCCGGTCAAAGCACTCACCCTGAACACCTGCACCATTAAATCGATAAAGTGAATGCGTAAGAATCATGAAATGGAATAAGAGATCGGTCCAAAATTGATCTTGTCTTATACTTACGCGGTCCAACCATAACGCCAAATGGAGAATTCGGAATTTGTTGACCAGCAAAGAAGACGTTGACTGAATGCAGACCTTCCATTTTTGGTGTATACTCAACGAGGTAGTTGTCTTCACTTTGACGGGTGATATTTGGTTTGATCACGTCTTGACGTCCTTGTGGATCAAGGATCACACAATCTGCAACCCCCTCTCCGGCCCCTAATGATATTAAAAAACATTTTTTCATAATTTAATTTACAATAACGTGAATATAAAGTGCTGTCATTTGTGATTTTGTGTGCACTCTACAACGGAATGCTTACCCTCATTATTTACTTCAACTAAAATTTTTCAAATTTTATGAAAAGTGTACTAATGTGGCATAACAAATACTTTTTTGCCAATTGTGAAGTCCTACCAGTTGTAAAGATATTGAAGAAGGTTCGACGGCCGACTTGATTGCCTTGAGGTTCAATACCCGGACCGGAGGCAGTCGCCTTGCTGGGATCTGCAGCTCCCTCAACCATAACCTTGAAGGGTGAGTTCATGATTTCCTTGGTAGCAAACTTAATGATGACGCGATACTCCCCGGCTTGAGTAGGGACATAGGCACAAGAGTAGGTGTTAGGTCGATCGGTGTTCGGAACGATGTCGCAAGGTTCGCGTTGACCTTTAGGATTCAGGACAATGACTTCAACTGACCCCTTTCCAGCTGAAGAAGCATCGATGGTGAATCGAGCGGGCATTCCGACCTTGTTTCCACGCGGCTCAAGACCTGAAAAGGGTAGTAATAAAATGTTTAAAACAAGGATTGTTTTACTATTCTCCTTAAGGTGATTTTCTGGCAACTGCCAATCAATATCCGTGTCGTTTTCAGCGAATGCTTTGAATTGTGTTCTTGGCGCGGGAGATCTGGGACCGAGAAGGAAGAGCAGACAAGCGAAGCGCTGTCTGGAGAAACAAGCACAAACGGCTAAGCCGCGGAATCTAATATTCTTCTTCTTCTCGGAATCCGCCTTCCTTGACCGGCGCTGTTGACTGAATAGTTTAGCAGCTTCGTCCAATACAGCGTGGTCAACTCTAACTTCGATCAGGTACTGGAAACCAAATTCCATCCAAAAGAAGGCTTAGGAAATTAATGCTGTAGCAGTGAGCTAAGAGAAGGCTGGCTTCTTCTAGGGAGATTGTGATTGGATCCCGAGAGAGAGTGGGGGAGGGAGAGAAAGAGAGCGTTGGGTGTGACCGAGGTAGGGAACGTACGCGCGTTTCCGGTGCACAGTGCGTTTGAACAATTGGCAGATTCTGGTGCTCAAGTCTGGCTGAAATCTGAACCAAAACACCCCTCCAACTCTTCTTCCTCTTCTTCTTCTTCTTTTCTTTCACTTTTGCGGAAAGTTATTCCGTTTAATAATAATAAATTGAAGGCTCGTGTTAAAGGTAAGACTTTGGTGGTGCTTCTATAAATTTCTCCATAAATTTTCTTTAGAAATCGGTAATGAATCATAAAATGGAGATATTTTGCCCCAAAAAACCACTGATTTCTTTATCAACCAGGATGGAAGATGTTGTACCTCACTGGACGAATGTTTGAATTTTTCTGCGTCATAAAGATCCTACTGGCCACAAACCAGTTGGCATTTGTCTGATATCAGAAGAATTGTAAAAAATATCAAAATTTTGGGCGATTAACCTGTTACTTGGCATAAGTCACAATTGAAAAATTAATAAATTTAATCTTTAAATAGCGAATATGCTGACAATATGATGTGTGTCAATCCTTTTCTTCGAACCATATAAATGCGGGAATGCCTTTCATGCTTAATATTTGCATTTGATAATTTAATCCTATTGGATAATTTAGTCTGTTCAAAAATACACATTATACTCCTTCCGGCATTGTAAAATTGCTTAACTAGGTCGGAAAAAAATGCTGTTGATATTTTGTTTGAATGAAAAATCGGTTTCAAGGTCACTGACCGGGTCCATAGGCTCTGACGCTAGCGGGATTGGCTCTTGGTCTCAGTGGTGCTCCATCTTTGAGTTTCGCGCTTGGGAACTGACTCAAATATGTCATCATAGCTTTCTCATCCACGCGTGGATTTATCATTTCTTCGGGTCTAATGAGCTGTGGAACATCCAGCCACTGTTCTGCCGCATTCATGGCTTCAGTTGCATTTCTCAACTTTTGTTTAGGCTCCCAGTCTCTCCAATCAGGGCACAGGCCAGGAGCACAAGCATCCACAAGAGCACCAATTGCTGTACCATCGTTCCAGTCAGTTGTGAAGTTCTTGACAGGTCGTTCATTTAATTTTGAATTCAACCATGACAGGAGACGCTGCTTTGGCGTAGGTCCGGAACTTCCCTGCGTTCAAAATACGAAATTAGTTTAGAAAATGATGGAAGGAAAGGCTTTTCAAGTATGTCAACGGACTTGATTGTAATCTTCGCCTTCCCAGAGTGGAAGGGTGATCGAATAATGAAGGATCAAGGTCCAGATCAAACCCAGGATGAGTTTCAATCGGCAGTCAACGATATCTGTACTATCTACAGGCAAAGAGATATGAAAACTGTAGGCATCACTCACCGATATTAACCAATCGCAATCCCTCATTCTCTTCCAAAAATCTCAGAACCATGGTGACATTTTCCAGTTTCTGAGTTCGAAAACTCGGTTTTCGATTGACATGACGAAACGTCTGACCCGAAAGGGATTCTATCAGATCGATGAGCCGCAAACCATCGGCAAAATCGTACTGAATGTCGTCCACAGAACTGCTCTTGTTCTTCAAGTGCTCGTTGGCCCAACGAGTAAAGGTGTTCTTCTGAATTAGCTTCCATTCAGCATCTTCGGCTAATTCGCGTTCGGCAATCGGAATTTCTCCCTCATCATCCTCGTCAACGTAACCGTCTCCTGGATCTTCATATCCCTCATAGTAGGTTCCTGGTGGATTCGCATCTGCGTACATTTTTTAGCTTCCCTCTTGAACTCTATCTGACGGAAAAGTAATATGTAATTAAAATGTAAAGGCCACAAATTACTATTCGAAAATCAAAAAGCATCTTATTTCCATCAAAGAAAATAAACGAAATCACTATTAACCTGACTGCATTCACATCAGGAGTATATACAATTAATATTATTTTTTTTCCATGACCTTGTCAGACTCATTAATGCGATTATTTACACTTTCTTAGCATTCTTATTTACTAATCCACTTAATCAGCATTGAATCGTGTGGGCTAAAATCGGTATGGTAATGGTTTCCCACTTTCCAGAATATTCTAAATTTAGACGTCAAATAAATCAGGCACCTTTAAAAGTTCAAAATCAGTTCGTTCTTAGTGGAACGAGCAGCCAGCATTAAGAAATTTCACAAATAAATTAATACATCTTAATTATAAATCATTTTCCAACCTGCGGATAGTAAAGAAAGGCCACTACAATGTGAAACACGAATCTCAACCATTCATTGCAAAAGTTTGGAACCTTCTCGAATGAGAGGCTGAGATACTCCCGTGCAACTCGTTCCTAAAACGTGAATTTCAAAGAGAAGATAGGACTTCAAAATGCATCACTAAATGACTCTCATTTCCAAACACATACATATGAAGAAAGTTGGCGCGAATCTTGCAAACCAACTTTTTAGATTTGTACAAATTTTCGCATTAAATTCTCCAACCAATAAGAACTCATGTCAAGTGGGTGTCCACTTCTCACAAAAAAAACCAATAATCGATAGGACACAACTAAGGTCCTATTAACTGATATTTTCACCTTGCCACATCACCAACCACTAAACCGATTTGCAAAATTGAACAATTTTCTTTCAGATTAAAGTTTCAAATAATCTTTCCGCAGTATTAAGCTGGCATTATTTCGAATTTACCTGACATGATGAATTGACACAGTTCGTCGGGCATTTACCGGAATACGAATAAAACATTATATTAACCGTGTGTGTCTTTAGAATGTATGACTTTAAACAAAGAACTCATTTTTTTAGATACCCCATATCATAATGGGGATAAAAGTAGGGTAAATTCTAAAGGTCCACGAGGACTCAGGTTCGAAACCTTCGGGTGACCTTCCACCCAACCACTTGGATTTTTAAGCTTTTCAATTCATGAATTAAATTTGTTCGATTTATATGCACAAAATGCCCCCTTTTTGAATGTGATTTTTAAGGGGGTGAAATCCTATATTTTTTTTTAAACAGAAAATAATTTTTCGCTTGACTTGAAGCTACTTAACTAAATATTCTTATTCTTTGATCGTTTCTTCCTATGGCCTTTAACGCAAATACTTGAGAAAGTCTAAATGATAATCCCTACACTAAAGGAATTAAAACAACACCTTCAAATTTGAATATTTTCTTAAGGGGTGTGCGATAGACTTACCTCCACGTGGTGCACCCTAGGCAACGTATACTCATACGGCAAAAAGTCTATTAACCGGCAGTTGACTTCTCACTTCAAACTACCATGACCTCACTCTATGCCATATTTGACTATTTTCACAGTACTCACATCACCTTTTTTCTACCTTTGTGTTTGTCTCTTATATCTATGAAACACTCTTCTGTTCCCCCTCTCGATTTTTTTCAATTTGATGTTCCTTCCCCTCTGTGAAGCCTGAAGTCAACTAAAGGGCTAATGATAACCATCAAGACGCCTGCCATTTGATATAAATAAATAAATTTAGGTGAGATAGAACTCTTATTAACGCAGAATTTTATCTATTAACTAGATTCCATCTTCTTTAAGAATAACCAACAGGGAAGAATAGGAACACTGTATCCAGTCTATAAATAACTTGAGTCAACGATAATAGTATAAACCCCCCCCCCAATTAAGGACACAATTTATCCGTAGACTTTCAATAAGCATGTCCCAATTGCTAGGACAAATCAAATTAAAGCTCTTGAATTAATTTTTCCCAACCAATCTTTCCATCCCAAGATTACTACTCACTAGTGCCATTTGAAGTAAATTTTGTTATTCTCCAGTTTGCATTTATCTGAATTTTTGAAGGTGTGCGCCTGTTCCTCTAACCCAATTTTTAAATGCCCTTCCACCATTGTTAATAAATTAAACAAAAAACTTGGAGAGAAGTAAAAGGAAGGGAAATTGGTACCTATTGCATATAAACAAAAGAATATACATTGTCATACAAAATAGATGGAAGTTTTTTGGGGTTTTGTGTGCTTGCGTATACACCGTGGAAGTCCTTTCAAATTTGATTTTTAAGGCCACGTTCACCACATACCGGGATGAAATGAGAGGAAAGATTTCGAAGACACCGCCTATAGGCACGATTTCCCCAGAAACCATAGAGAACAGGATCAATGAAGATGCACACCCGTGACCAGAGAGTCACCACAGGCAGGAGGTGATAACCAAAATCCGAATGCAACCATCTTGCACAGAGACAAATTGCTCTTGGCCCGTGACATACCACGAAGACTATCAGAATGCTTGCAAGCACGACAACGGTTCTCTTGTGCTGACGTTGCAACTGTCTCATAAAGACGGAATCGTGAACGTAATCATTGCGAGGTTGTTGAGTCATTAAGATGACGGGTTGATAAAGCTCTGACATGCTCTTTCTTCGTCTTTCATTGGCACCGAGGTCGGGGCAAGTCAATTTGCGCTTTGGATTGTCGAGACCGCAAGCAGTATTTGTAGAACAGTCGATAGATGATGCAGTACGAGTGAGTGTTTCACCAACTGATTTCACTGAGAGAAAAGACAAATAATCCACTGGAGGCGTGGCACTGCTTTCATTTGGTACCGGTAGGTATTCATTAGAAGTTTCAGGAACATCCCACAGTTGCGTGTTTCGTTCATCCAATGGACGATTCAGATTTTGATCACTGCTTCCTGTAATAGTGAAAGTAGGAATACTTGATTGTGTTTGAAAACGAGGTCTTGAGAACTCTGTTTTGTTAAAAGAAGGACTCGATGCTGTTTCTTCGTCGATGAGGAAAGTGATTTTACTTGAGTTACTTGTTTGACGAAGTAGAAAGCGCTTATGTCTCTTAGCAACCTAGAATAGGGAAAATTCAAGTGAAAGATAATTCATAAATCATAAATTAAAACATGTTTTTTTGCATCAAAACTAGTATAGTTGGCAAATAAGCACATTTTGCTATAGCGTTCAAACTTAGCCCGCATTAACCACCAGTCTACTTACCAGGGTGCTTCAACTGTCTTGAAAGGTATGAGTCATTATTTCAGTTTTAAACGAATCTACACTATTTTTACGCAATAGATAGCTCATGTTCCTAACCTCAGATTACATGATTTGTCAATTGCGAAAATTCGTTTTCATTCTTCAAGCGGTTGAGCAGGCATAAATTTACGAGGTCAAGCCTTTAGTGGGTTGTTTTTTTATCCGATCAATAGTACAAGGTAAATATGGTCAGTTGGAGGGAGCAATTCCCTAAGCTCTAATAACTCATAATTCTCTTTGCCAGGAATGAGCAAGAAAGCAGTAAATTATGCTTTTAAATTAGGTTTGCGTATTTAGTTGCAAAGTCCACTTCATTGGTCACTTGCCACTCTGCAAAACGTTATGCCCCGACAAGTTGAGTTGCCGTATGCGTACCATCATCATATTGGCATCCTTGGATATGTAAGCGAAATTTCATGGAGCAATCTTAAGTTTGGCATATTGTTTTGTGTGAGTGGAATATGACATAAAAGTACTTGGAAGAGCGCGTGGAGCAGACGAAAACAGGAAATTTTCCTACCTGCATGGTCAGATAGTTTTAGAGGCCTATACTGACTCTCGCTGGCTGGCTGGCTGGACCCGTAACCTTAGAAAATTTTAATTACCGTTCTATTTTGGGGGGTGAGGATGGAAAGGAGAGACGGAAATATATATTGAACAGGTTGTTGTTATGGTTCACTTTCCCTTTCAACAAATTTCTTGGAGGGTGAGGGAGAGAGAGCGCGAGTTCGAACGCACAAAATTATTGCAAAATAAGTAGAATGTAGGGTTGAAGAAGTTGGGAATACGGGTAGTTGGAAAATTTTAGCCTTTTCTTCTATTGCAAGGAATTAGCAGAAATTTAAAGCTGCAACCGATTACCTTCCTAACTTCATTTGTTGCTTTTGTAAAAAGGCTCTGATTCGCTTAAGAGCGAGAGAGAGAGATAGAGGGAGAAAGGGAGGATGCAAGGAGAAGTTCTATGACATTCCTCCAATCGCCCATCAGCACACATTCTTATTTTATTCTTTCAATTCCTTTTATTGACAACCCTTCGCCCTGAGAATTCGACAGGGCGAGGGTCCAAATATGTCAAATGGAGGGGAAAAGGTTAAAAGCGTTCGCTATTTCATTATTTCTGATTTGTCATACGAAATATTTCGTACAAAAAATCGTACCCAAAGAAGTCGAATAAAATATTCCTTGAAAGGAATAAGGGAACGATCACATCTAAAGAAAGTGCTTCAATACCTCTGCTAGTCTCACTTCTTCCACCACTAAAAGTGAGAAGCGGAAACGAATTGAGGTGGGAGGATAAATCGACAGGTTTAGAAGTCTGTGGGTCAGTAAGCATTTGAAATCACAACCTTTTGACAGGTCAACTTCGAAACACGAGCATTTCATTCAGGTGAATGGAGGAAAAAATTAATGACCAAAATTTAAATGACGCAAAAGGTCCGCACTCTCAGCATCGATTGGATCCCTTTAATTGATCAAGCCTTGGAATTACTGTTTATCGATTTCAATCACTCCTCGAGATTAAAATAAAGATTTTTACTTTTATAAATTTGACATTTATTATTGCTTTATTGATTGTAGTAGGAATAACAATTTTATTAGCACTTCACATGTTGGTTCTTTTCTGCTCTCATTTATTTTGAAATGTTTTTTTTTCTAAACATACCACTCAACATGACTGATTTAGAAATTTTTTAAAAAATATTTGGCAAATATTATAGAGTAGGTCAAGTTTGCTATCAAAGATGAACACTCCAGGTCTTCGTAAAGCTTCCTCCTGGATTTGGGGTTATTGTGATTTATGCCTACCACCCAGGCGTAGTAACTTCTAAATTAATACCTAACCACTCAGCAGAGTCCGAATCTTCATTGAAAAGAAAATAAATCAGCAAACAAACTCATTAAATTATGGATAAATCATAAAACTAACAGATCACTTTCGCATTTGTTTTTGTTTTAGAAGTCCTTACTATAGTGAAATCCAACATTGTGGTTGGACAATAGCACTAAGTAAATGTGATCAATAAGTGTAACATAAGAAAGCGAATTTCTCACAGCATGTTAGATCTACAATGCTACTCTCCTAACTAAGTAATAGTTTCAAAACAAATTGGATCGTACGGTTTGATTTCGGTCGGAGCTTTATCTTTTATTGGATTTAGGTGCAAGTATTCACGGCAATCTTCCCATTTACATACAACATATTTTAAGTTTAAACAAATATCATTAGCTTCCTTAGCTTAAAACAAAAAAAATCGATCGTTAAAATATGATTAAAATATCATCCCTCATTTAAGGCCGAGTTTGATATGCAACGAAAAAATATGGCATATAATTTAAAAATAAATATATAAATATATTTGTAAGTTCTATTTTTTCTTTCAGATCAAAAGAAACGTCCTCCTCCTTCATCGTGAAAGTGTCATGTAGACCTCACATCTTCGACGGTATAAGTTGAATACATAGATCAGACTGTAAAGCTTAAAGATGCATTAAAATGTATTAACATTTTCAACCAAAGTTGAAGAGCTAGTTTAGTGGGTTAAGCCGATAATCCTCTCAAATACTTTTTAGGGCTAGCTAATGCCCAAGGTCATGCATTAATAATTGGCTAATGAAGTATATAGTTAGCGTGTAATATTCAATTCAATGCAGTACTTACTTTCCTGTAAATTAAACAGTTAGTTGAGAGTAAGAAGGAAGTAGGCATAACGAAAAGCCCTGCGAATACTCCAATGCTGGTCGATAGGGTGTAGTAGTAGAGCTCCAGATCCAAATTTGGATCTATTTCGCCTTTACGATGCAACCACGGCCAGATACTTCCACAAAAAGCAAGCAAAAGAACAATAAGAGGGAGAGAGCAGAGACAGAGACGAGAAATTTTCTGAAAACGCATAACAACCAAACACTTTAAAGGTGATTGAATAATGCTCCTGGTTGCAACTTCAAGATCAACACTTGTGACCACATTTTGATTTCTTCTGCTGCAGTAGCAGAAACAGCAGCAACATCCTAGACACGAAGACAGGTGATTCTCATTGGTGATATTAAAAGAATGAGCAAACGGTCGACCATTTTCATTCGCGGTCGTTTTACGACTGCTATGTCGAGAGGTGCTATGTATAGCGTAGGCTCTATTAACAGCAATCCACAAAATTGCTCCGACTTCGACAGCTTGGAAAGTATCCACAAGAATAGAACTGGTCACAACACTTGCAATATTGGCTTCTTTTCCGTAGATAGAATAGAGAGCGGAACTCAAAAGCGTAAATGCGGTGATAAGATTCGAAGAGGCTAGAATTAAAAGACCCTGGAGGTACACTTTATGCCGACGACTCTGTGAACGCCATGCAGTTTTTCCATTCGGTTTAGAGCAGCGTTGGCTGGGATACGGATCCTGTTCCAACCGATTAATTGAAAGGAGTGAGGATAACCGAGGGAGAGACACGTCAGGATTAGGCGAGAGCAACGCCGATTTCTTGGAACTCAAACATCTCGAAGAGGGTTCAGAAACTCGTCTCGGAGCTGCCGAATCAATAGACTCCTTCCTTTGAGTTCTGTGATCTGTATAAGTTTCATCTGTGCTGTAACCCCCAAATGAATATTTCTTTCGTTTAGGCATTGCACCGAGCATTCTGGAGAAGATGAGTATTCCACCATTTGTAGCAATTCCAAGGCATGCTATTAAAATGGCAAAGCTGATTTCACTCATAGACATGACTGTCTGAATGGGGAATGCTTGAAGGCATGATTCCCATGCTAAGACACGCTTCTCTTATTGGCAAACACCAGACCAATGAGAGTTATAGAATTTCCGGATTGGTTGGCCAATTAACGCGCGACCTTAAAAGCTTTTAAAGTACTGAAAACACCTAACATTAAAAGTGGACTTAGTTTCTTCACGGGGTCAAGTTTTTCTGGAGGTTAATGAATTCATTTCATGCCTCTTTTCACGCAAAAGATGGAGTGTGAAATAACCTCTAATAAAATTGTTTTCATATGTTTATTTTCACCCAAGTGCATCGGCCTCTTGTTCGCTATCACTAACAATATTGTTTAGTCTTTATTCGATACATTTTTCTTCCACTTACACATACCTCTATTTTTGTTGGCCACCAAATCAGAAGTCAAAAGATGGTTAGTAAAGTTGGATATTTTTAATTATTCAAAAGCAAAACATTATGAATAAACTTACTTGGGGAAAGAAGAAATAAAACAAAATTAGTGTAAAAGGAACCATTGCTAATTTGATAACCACTTTAAATGTTAAAACGATTATTTACCAAAATGAAGACACTTCAAATGTATATTGTCAAGGAAGCAGCTTACCCTTACCGACTCTGGATCCCTTGTGGTGATGTGCTTCCTTTTACAAATTTTCTCAGCCGCCTAATTTAATTTAAGGCTTAAGATAAGGAATTCGTCTGTTTTTGAAAGAATTTATATTTAAAATACTTGTATGATGGAGGTGGGGGGGGGGGGGGGGGGGGTAACAGTGGGTGGACTGTATCTTTTTATCGTGTTGACCTTACATCGGGTTGAAAGCATACACACATTAACTTTATATTAAAAGATATTTGGATCATTTACTCCTATCTGGGTCCAATGACCTTTACCTGCATTTTTGTATATCTTCTAAACAAGCGTTCCCTCTTGATGTTATCTCTATTTAAGCTAGTATTATTTATTTATTTATATCAAATGCAAGCTTTATGACGGTTATCTTAAGTCCTTTTAGAGAAGGAACAGACAAAGTAAAAGAATCGAGAGTGGAGGGGGGGGGGGGAACAGATGAGTGATTCACAACTGTAAAAGAGGCAGACCAACGGATAGAGGAAAAGGTAAGGTGAGATGAGTACTGTGGACGTGGTGGAAAGCGATATGCATTCGAGTCATGGTAATTTGAAGTGAGAAGTCAATTGCTGATTTATAGACATTTTTTGCCGTATGAGTACACATTACCCAGGGTGCACCACGTAAAGGTGGGTCTATTGCACACCCTTATTATTATAGGAAACAATAAAATGCTCACTTGAAGCGCGAAAAATAATTTTCCTCCTCAATTTTCTCCCATTCAATCTGAACCAAGTAGATGCTGTTTTTACGTGAACAAATCCTTATTAAAAAAGTGAACAAGCCATATGTGCCAAGAGAAAGACGTCATCTTCCAACAAGCTCTTCATGATCACGATAATTCTTTATACCAATGCTACTTAATTAATTTTACATCATTGATGAATTGAGAACAGAAAGAGTGGTTATCCGGTTTTTGGAAAGTTTATGAAGAGTGATATTGGTTCAAAATAAGAGATCAGTATCGAGGTGAAAGTTGCTTAAACGCTGAATTTAAATAAGATTAGCTTAGATAAGAACATTAATCAATTACCGTTAATGGCGAATATAACAATTCTGAAAGAAATTGATGATTTATTTGAGTGGGTGAGTAAGTCGGAATGCGGGAAAATTATTGAACCTCTGAACTGCACCAGACACTACGTCTCATTCAGGATACTGCGTGACCCTGGAGGTCAAATTGTCATATTTCCGACTGTAAGTTTATGGCTTCATTACTGATGATTAATTGCAGCCCAAATACCCCGACGAAAAACCGGGCTGGATAATATCTGTCGGCGACAAGAAGATAATGGACACTAACGAAGGATTTCCAGAAGCTTCGACCATCACACAAGCCTTCATGTGCTGTCTCTACGTAATTCTAAATAGAATGCAAGTCGAAATGCCACAGGATATAATAGAACTTGATGAAAATTTTAAAGGAATTCTTGACTCAGTATTTCCAGGAATCGATTTGGATGCCTTATTGAAATGAACTTTGGTAAACTATGCGTTACGCTAGCATTGAGTGCAAAGGTTCCATGAATTCTGCCTCATTGCTTTTATATGAATTGTTGGTTGGAGCAAAATATTTTAACCACGGTTCTATATTATTCAGAATATTAAACCTTGCATGTCGGACCTTATAAAAGGTGTTTTCGTGTAAGGAGGTCAAGGTGGTTTATTTGTTCACCGCTAGGTACCATGGGAGTGCAGTTAGGAGAAGATGTGGGGGGGAGGTGGGGGGGGGGGGGGGGGGGGGGGGGGGGTGAGGGGCATAATTTCGTCAACTCAGACACTTTGTCAACTAGATTGGGCTTTACAAATAAGTTCAAGTTAAATTCATGTATAGTTGGCGTAGGGAGATCAAATCACAACCGAAATGGTAACTGCTTTCACCACCCCACCCCTCCACCAAATCACTGTCGAGTTTTCGAAACCAATGTGTTTATCTATTTGTTTATATCAAATGGCTGGCGTTTTGATAGTTATCATTAGCCCTGGAGCTGACTTCGGGGCTTCATGAAGAGGAAAAGGGACATCAAAGTGACAAAAAGTCGAGATGGGAGACAGAATAATGATTCACAGAGGTAAAAGAGACAGACAGACAGACAGACACAAAGGCATAAAAAAGTAAGATGAGTACTGTGGAAGGGGTCGAATTTGAAAAATAGTCGAGCCATAGAAATTTGAAGTCAGAAGTCAACTGCCGATCGATAGACTTTTTTGCCGTATAAGTATACATTGCCCAGGGTGCACCACGTGGGGGTAAGTCTATTGAGCACCCCTTCGAAACCAATATTCATCCGGGTAGTGGCCTCATGGGGGTCAGAAATAGGTTGGCAGACTCATTTAACTCACCTCATTTTGAAATTTAAACAGGCTTTAGTTAACGTTCAAATACTTGGATTTGTCTACTACATAAGGACATAACCTCAATTATACACTATATCAATCAATCACCACAAAGTAAGTGAACGTCAATCATGATTGAGATTGGACAACGCGTTTCGGTTTATTCGCACACACAAAAAATTAATTAGACAGGAGAGGAGTGGGGAGGGGAGAGTTGGAGTGGATTGAAAAAAAAAATAAAATTTCAAAAATGCCAAGTGTCGTCACCTCGACGTCACTCCCGAATTTCTGTTGATTAAGGCCAAATTCCAAAAGATAGTTAATAAAATATGGGGTTATTTTCAACCCGCGTAGAAAGTATAATTTCTGCGCTTTAACCCATTTGCCATAAAAAAATAAATATTGAAAATTATGGAAGACCAATTAATTTATTGCTGACAGTTAGTAGAACAAGTACATATGGTCTTCCCCAGAAAACAAAAAGCACGGTATTATTTAATTGTTAATTAATGCTCTTTTTATTTAATGCGTACCTACCCATTAGACTGAAGGATCTCATGAAAGGAAAGGGAGAAACCAGATACTCACTTTCAACTCCATTCAGACCACTTAAGTCTATGTCTCGAAATGTTGTCAAGTGTCTTATCTATCCCATCGACGTGAATGTGCACTTTACCGTTAAATTGATCTTCGATTTAATCATATTGCTATTTGGTCGCTTTTCAGACTCTTGCAGACCTTCATTGTTTTTGCAACGAGAGAAATGTCTTTGAGGCAGTAGAACATGAAAAAAATAGGTAAAGCACTGATTGATTGAAATGGAAATTTTATATTCAGATCTATTTCCTCAGGGCATCTATGGCAAGATTCAGTGGCATTTGGATGTATTATTAAAGCTACAGATACTCAAAGAAGGCGGAAAGAGAAAATCTTCAAATTGGACGATGATTAATGAACTACTTATTTGGACTTGAAGGGGTGGAAAATGATATGCCGCCTGGTTTGAAAATCGTTGTTGCAACAGCCTCTCCATTGATTGTCTTGTATATCCAAGTGTGGATGTGGGTATCCAATCGAATTGAAATTCCGAAATCAAATCTCCTCTTGAACTGTCTTACGTTGAACCAAGGTTGCATTGGAGTTGACATCGCGAATTCGATAACTGTCAGTCGCTAAACTTCTGCCCGCTCAGTTTTTGATGGTTCTGATTCCTCCACAACTGCGTTCATTTTGAACTGGGTCGTCTCCTTTGATTGACCTTGGCGATCATCACCTCTGCTTCAGCCAGTTAAAACACTGGGTCCATTTAAATGCTTTTCGGGGAAAAGAACTGGGAATGAGGAAATTTTTGTTTTATTGATTTCAATATTTCAAAAGAGAAAATGTTATGTCTATGCTATTGTTCCAAATTCTTTCTTACGTGAACAGCGATTAATATGAAAAGTGGAAAAAATGAATGAAAAGTGCTTTTCAAAATCATGTTAATCCCGATTTTATAGCGTGTTAACCCCACCCGAGACCAATAATTTTCTGAGTTCACGGGATACAGAAGCAATTTCAGGATTAGAAGACCAAGAAACAATTGGAATCATGGGTTTATTGGGCAATGGGGAATGTGTATTAGGTGAATGGGAGATGGAGTGGGGGGGGGGGGGGGGGTGGTGGAGAGGAGAAGGAAGCGAGATAAAGGTGGTAATTTATGAACAAAGACAGTTAAAGTGAGAAACGATTGGTCGATCGATTGTGCATAGTGTATTTGCTGAAGAGCCACTACGCCATACCCAGAGAGGGAGAGAGATCACGAGTCAGACTGACACAAGTCTAGTTTAGTATTAACGGTAGGAGAGGAAAAGTTGTGGGAACGCATTCATTTAGATTTTATTACAATCAAACGTTGTGGGCTTTCGCGAATTGTCTAAATGAGAATTAATGGTACGAAATCCGAGAGGATTATAATTGATTACGCAAAGTGGGAGCGCAGATATAAATAACTGTTATTGTAGGCAGATTTTTATATTTGGAAAACAATTTCAGCAATTTTGGAGAATTCAGCGTTCAGATTCTTCTGACATCGCTGCTCTTTGTTGAAATTTAAATGTTCCCTGTTCTTCAATATATATAATTCATTTAAGGTGAATTATATATGTGATTCGTTTTTTTTAATAAGCAATGTCTCATCATCTTAGCAATTATACAAGTGACTGAAATGTATTCACCAGAATTTTCGTTTTTTGAGATGTAGGAGATCGATATCAGACCGCATTTAAATAATCCTAACCACTGTGGATGAACAAGAACTTATCATCAGACATATTGACAGATTGATCAAGCCCATAAGAAGGCTGAAGTGACCACCAGTTAAATATTCCCTTCTTTAACTTTCTTTCGTGATCATTTAACCAAAATTTTACTAGAACAAACCAAACCGTACTTCAACCCTGGCCAGAATCACACCTTCCAGTTTCTTCCATACATCTACTCAGCAAATTTTACCCCCAACATCTTGCAAGTTCCTGTCCTTTGTCTCACTCGTTCTTCTACTTTTTCTTCTTCTCAAGCCTGTAGGAATTCGTGGTATGGCCAACATTTTGATTGTTCCTGTAAATCGAAGTTCACAGAGAATCGAACAACTACACGGTGAAGATAAATCTCTTGTCATTATATACTCAATAATATAACCCAAAAAGGATAAATCAGTCTGCTATGATAGTACTCTGGTTTGATCTTCCACATTATTTGATAGTTATCATTAACCCTTTAATTGACTTCAGGCTTCACAGAGGGGTGGAACATCAAAATGAAAAAAAGTTGAGAGGGGGGGGGAACAGAAGAGTATTTCAAAAATGTTGCAAGAGACAGACATAAGAGTAGAAAAAATGGTGAGGTGAGTACTGCGGAAGTATTCGAATATGGCATACAGTGGGGTGATGGTAGTTTGAAGTGAGAAGTCAACTGCCAATTAATAAACTTATTTGCCGTATGAGTATACGTTGCCCAGGGTGCACCACGTGGAGGTAAGTCAATCGCACACCCCAATTAGGCTATAATAAGCCAATATTGCTTTACTGATTTTTTACTAGCTTTATCTGAATGGCGCAATGCTAGGAAGTAAGTAAATTTAAGAGGCTATCGCCATATTTTGGGCGGGATAAATCTTCGATACCTCACATTCGCCGAGGCTATATTTCTATTAGCAAAGAACTACCTCAGGGGTATATGCGTATGCGCGTATGTGGAAAAACCTGCTATGCCATAATGTGCAGAACGGTGCCACATTAGAAGGAATAAGCCAAGTCTCTAGTATCCCTGGATCAGTAAGAAGTAGACATCAGTCATGTCAGGTAGTCGATGTTTTCACATGTTGGTGTAACCTCTATGCAGGAGTTCATTTGCAAACACGCAAACGTATACTCACCTGTTTCCTGGTAGGATATTCTTAATAAAAACTTATTGTTCATCTATGCGGTGGGCACAATAAAGCGAAAACAGCGAAGTGAACATTTAGCATACCATAATAGGAATTTAGAAGAGCTAAGTGGTGAAAGTGTTATTGTGCTAAAGATAGAATACCAACGAGGATATTAATTTATTGGAGTTAAGGAGAAATGAAACGTGGTTACCAATTTAATTGTAGTGCACTATTTTCACATTTATCACTTAACTTCTCGTTAACCTTTAATAAAAACCAACTTCCTCAATAAATAAGTAGTGGCTGAGTTAAATGGAATTTAAAAATGCAATTGCAAATATTTTGTGTCAAAGTTATATTATACCTTACGTTTAAAATAGTGAGAAGACATTTTCTCTTCTTTCAAACTGAAGACATGTCAGAGAGACGTAAAATATGTATCACTGAAGTGGTTGTCTGTAATCAGGTTGAATAGTGTCCAAGAATTTGCTTTAAGATTAACTCACCAGTAGAAATGGAATTTGCGTTTTTTTCTTGCGAGGGAAAAGCACCATTTCCGGACATTGTTAAGAACAAAGATTGGAATTTGTCTTCTACAAGATATGTTCGTGTAAAGAGCAGAAATTACATGCTCTTTCGCATTAAATTCCATTACTGTGTACTTTTCTCATTTCTCTCTATATATTTTATAATAACCACTTATTTATATCAAATGGCAGGCGTTTTGATAG